TGCAGAAATAGGCAGGATTTGTGGGCATGAATGCTTCACAGTTACTGGAAATGTCAACCAGGTGTTTGTGAACCAAGAAGCAGTGAGCAGTAGAGAAAGTCATAGAGAAAACGAGTATCAGCCTTGGCAAAATGCTGACTTGATAGCTGCTGCTATTAAAGGAGGGCCCCCAAGAGGGCAGGGAAAGAGGGGTTCCTGGAAAGCCACCCAGTCTGCTCACCCGCTCCTGCAACGTGATCAGTGTGCTTACTGTAAAGAAGTGACACACTGGAGAGAAAAGTACCCCCAGTTAACAGAAGAACAGGGCAATCCTAACCACGAGGATTCAGATGAAAGTGGAGGAGCTCTGTTCAGTCTAATGGAAGAGCCAGCGGACTAAATTGGGGGCAAGGCTCATATACCCCACAAAAAGCCCGTGGTCTGGACAACAGTCCTGTAACTCCCCTATCAAAGGAAACAACCAGTACTGTTAGAGCTACTGGGGTTTTAGAAAAACAGGCTTTCTTGTACTTGCTGGACTGCCCCATCCCCCTTCTCCAGCAAAACTTGTTACGCAAATTAAGGGCTACATCTATCGCATTCAATAATGAGGACTCCCTGCAGCTAAAACTGCCTTACAAAGGGGTTATCAAGGCTCTCACAGTCCCTTGGAAGGGGGAATGGTGACCCTCCCTAACCAGGGACTGAAAACTGCAGGCCAGTGCATGGCTTGCATTTGGTTAATCAGACTGCAGTGACTTTGCACCCAACTCGTGCACGCGGTTGGGATTATTGCCAGTGGAGGATAGTTGGTTCACTTGAATGGACTTAAAGAATATTCCTTTAGCACTGGACTGGCCTCAGAGGGTCAGAAACTATTTGTGTTTCAATGGGAAAATTCAGAAACAGGTGTGACCACCTGGTACACCTGGACCCAGCTTCCCAGGGGCTCAAAAACTCTCTCACCATCCTTGGGGAGACACTAGACCGTGACCCCCCACCAGAAGTTTCTTGCTAAGGACTTAGGCTGCATGCTCCTCCAATATGCTGGTGACATTTTATGGGGACCTCCCACAGCAGTCGGGTACACTAAAGAAACAGCTGCCTTACTTTGGCACCTGGAGGACTGTGGATATAAAGTGTCTAAAAAGAAAGCCCAGATTTGCCAACAGCAAGTGCAATATCTGGAGTTCACCATCTGGCAGGGACAGTGCAGCCTAGGAGCAGAAAGGAAACAAGTCATTCACAACCTGCCAGAGCCTGACACTAAGAGGCAGGCAAGAGAGTTCCTGGGAGCGGTGGGTTTTTATAAATTGTGGATTCCAACCTTTGCAGTAGTGGCCAAACCCTTACACAAAGTAACAAAGTGGTGGAGGAGACAAGGAACCCTTTGAATGGGGCAGGAACTGAAAGTGAAACTTTTGTCAGCCCTGGCTTTGGGGCTACCCGATTTAACAAAGCCTCTCATGCTGTATGTGTCAGAAAGAGGGAAAAAAATGGCAATTGAAGTTCTAGCATCAGCTCTGGGAAAAATTTAAATATGAAAGCACCCCACACAGTAGTGACGCTAATGAACACCAAAGGACATCACTGGTTAACAGATGCTAGGCCGACCAAATACCTGAGCCTGATAAAGTGAAAATCCCCGCATCACCACTGGGATCTACACAACGCCTTAAACTCTGCCACTTTGTCCCCGGTGCCAAGAGGCCCATGAAATAACCCACGTGCTTCTTCGAGATCTCATCCCTAGTTTGGACTGCCACTGTGCATTGGATCAGACAACAGACCAGCATTTTTGGCAAATTTGGTCTGGAAGACAGCAATGGCCTTGGGTATTACTTGGAAACTGCACACTGCCTATTGACCTCAGAGTTCCGGAAAAGTGGAAAGAATAACCGGAATTTCAAAAATAGCTTAGGGAAAGTGCATCAGGAAACCGGATCAAAATGGATACAGGCACCTCCCTTGGTGTTATTCAAAATTAGACATGCTCCCTCTAAGAAGACATGATATTCCCCCTATGAAGTCTTATATCATACGCCCACTCCCATACTATGGGCACTCCTGGGAACTCCTCGGGTGTGGGAAAGATTGAGTTAGGACAACAGTTACAAGCCCTGGGGAAATCACTCAGGATATTTCAACCTGGGTAAATGAGAGCTGTCCTGTAAGCTTATTCTCTCCAGTTCACCCTTTCTCAGCAGGTAATTGTGTGTGGATAAAGGACTGGAATGTAGTCCCTCTGAAGCCACAGTGGAAGGACCCCAGACCGTGATCCTGACCACTCCCACAGTCTTAAAGGTAGAAGGAATCCCAGCCTGGATCCACCAAAGCCACGTGAAACCAGCAGCAGCTAAAACTTGGGAAGCTAAACCAGACCCAGACAATGATTGCAGAATCACCTTAAGAAGGAGGACAACAAGCCCTGCTCCAGCCACATCCTGGAAGCTGGCTGCTTCACGCACGGCCGAAGCATGAGGAAATTCATCATGGGACTTGTTCTTAATATTTGGACTTGTACAGTAGAGACATTAACTAATTTTGAAGAATGCTCTCAGTGTGTACACCAGGTTACTAAGATAGGAAGTAAAGTTGCTGCCATTCTTTTGTTCTACAGTTATTATGAACGTACAGGGAAACAGAGGGAACCTGTTTATATAATGGTACTCAGCATAAGGTGCGTAATCCAGGATATGGACAGCCCGATGTCAGCTAGGATCCAACAGAGCCCCCTACACATACAACTTTTAAAATTAAACTCAAAACAGGGTGATGGGACAGCCCTACCAAGCTAATAGCTAAAACAGAGAACGGAAGCCCAAAACAGGTTACACTAAGGTTTGATGCCCGTGCAGCCATCAATGCCTATCATTCCAGTCGGGGGTGCTGTGGTTCCCTTGGATGGGAACAAAGTTATGCAAAAGAGCATAAGTACATCTGCAAAAAAACCTACTGGTGCAGTAAATGCATTGTTAGGTCATGTGTCATCTGGGCCACTTGGGAAAATAATACAAATAATCCCATTCGTCTTGGAAAAGGGAGAGACACCATTCCAGGGAGCGATGTCCCCTGTGTCTTGGGACATTGTAACCCAGTAGAATTAATAATCACAAACCCCCAAGACCCTAAATGGGAAAATGAGGAGAGTATAATGCAAGGAATTAGGGCTTGACCCTGAAGTCAGTATCCAGATTCAGGAGAAAATCCAAAAACCCTCAGCCCGGCCCATGTACCAGCACTTTTATGGTATATTAAATAAGCCAGTGCCAGAACTTCCGAAAAAGACAAAGAACTTGTTCCTCCAACTCCCTGAAAATGTGGCCCATTCCCTTAATGTCACTTCTTGCCATGTATGTGGAGGAACTACTATGGGTGATAGGTGGCCATGGGAAGCCCAGGAGTTACTACCCCCTGACCCTGTCCCTCACCTGACCTCAGTTCAAAGTATTCAAACCAACAGTTTCTGGGTTTTAAAGGTTTCAGTTATGGGATAATACTGTTTGTCCAGAGAAGGAACAGACTTCACTGTTCCAGTTGGAAAGCTTAGCTGCTTAGGGCAGAGACTATGTAATGAAACAGTGGGCATCGTAACGTGGTGGAGCTCAAATTATACAGAGAAGAACCCCCTGCTAAAATTTCCAAAATTACAGGATGCCCGGAATCACTCTGGGTCCGGGAGAGACTCAACAGCCCTGCCTGGGTTGTACTGCATATGCGGACATAGAGCATACGTACAGCTGCCTGAAAAATGGATGGGTAGCTGTGTCATAGGCATCATTAAGCCTTCTTTTTTCCTATTGTCTGCCAAAACAGATGAGCTGTTAAAACATCCAGTCCACTCTGCCTGGGAGAAAAGAAGCCTAAAGCTAGTTAAATGGAAAATAATAAGTAGCCACCGGAAAGAATTATTGAGTACTGTAGGCTGGCCACAGGGACAGAGAATGGCTCAACGGGACACCAGACTCCTTCTATATGCTAAATCAGATCATCTGGTTGCAGACTGCCTTGGAAATACTCGTTAATGAAAAAGGCAAAGCTCTGTCCATTTTGGCCAGACAAGAAACTCAAATGAGAAATGCCATTTATCAGAACCGGTTGGCCTTAGATTATTTGCTAGCAGCTGAAGGGGGAGTCTGTAAAAAATTCAAACTAACCAACTGCTGCCTGAACATAAACGACCAGGGTCATGCAGTTAAGAATATAACCAAACTAGCACACGTGCCTTTGCAGGTATGGCATCAATTCAACCCGGAGTTCTTGTTTAAAGGTTGGTCCTCAGCCTTGGGAGGATTAAAAACCTTCATCATAAGTGTGATAACAACAGTGGGTGTGAAAACAAGGGAAAACTACTCCCTTGTTTTCCCCCCTTAATTCTCTAAATGGCTAAGAAATCCTTTACTGCTGTAATAGACCAGAGAACCACATGACAAATGTCTTATATCCATCATTATCAATAAGTTTCTTCAGGGGATCATGAAAATGAGAACGAGAGTGAGAACTCTCCCTAATGTTATAGATGAGGTTCTCAAAGGGGGGGTTGAGGAAGGAGACCCAGGCATCTAGGATCACCTCCCTCTTGACTTCCACGCTGCATTTCAACAGAAGAAAAGGCTGGCCGAGTGGTGCCTCCTGAATCACCTTCCTGTAGATGGCAGGCTTGGTGTGGGGGAATCTCTCCAGAAGGCATTGTTTTTACTTAAACAAGATCAAACCCCCACCCCGCTCCTCCATCAACCAAGACCCTTTCACATGTAATTTCTAAGACTGTAATCCCAAGACCCTTTCGTGTGTAATATCTAGAGTTGTGAGCCTATATAAAGGCAAAGCTTCTCTTTGTTAAACAAGCTTGGCTGTTAGACAAAACACGTTGCCTTGCTCCCAGCCGTAATAAACCACCTCTTCATTCATAGTTTGGTGTCTGAGAGGTCTGTTTCTTGCGGCTGCTCCTGCTTCAGTATACAGAATTACAATTGATTTTTGTATTTTGTCACTGTTTTTTGTTTTTTGTTTTTTTTATCAGGCCCACAGAAACAGGGCCTCAAAAAATTGGATTAAGACTCAGAATTGTTCCTCTCCACAGAAATCTTTAGTAAAAGGCGAAAGATTTATACTATTTGAAGAGAAATTCGAGTATTATTTTGTCACTGTTAAATTCACACATTCTAGGCATTTTCAAAAGCCCTCTTAGGGTTTTATATATAAGCAATCATGCTTTCCAGGCTGCAAGGTTTATTCTTTGGCAAAAGGAGTCTGAAATTATGTAAAATCTGCAAATAAAGAATATTTTAAAAATAGTTACCCATGCCCAATTTTATGTTAAAACACAACAAGGCCAGGTGCAATGGCTGACGCCTGTAATCCCAGCACTTTGGGGGGCTGAGGTAGGCAGATCACCTGAGGTCAGGAGTTCAAGACCAGGCTGCCCAATATGGCAAAACCCCATCTCTACTAAACATACAAAAAATTATCCAGGCGTGGTGATGGATGTCTGTAATCCCAGCTACTCAGAAGACTGAGGCAGGAGAGTCGCTTGAACCTGGGAGGCAGAGCTTGTAGTAAGCCAAGATCGCACCACTGCACTCCAGCCTGGGGGATAAGAGCACAACTCTGTCTCAAAAACAAAGACAAAAAAAAAAAAAACCCCACAACCAGACATAGTTAAATGTTTTACATATGGTCATGAAACTAAATTGTTCCCAATTATTTTCATATTCCAGTTTATATCAATTTCAGTGGGTAGGGTATCATTTAGGGTATAGTTTTCCTTTCATCCTGCTAATCCATTAATTATTCTTTTCTGTAAATCCACAAATGTCAGAGGCGTTTGAACGGGAGCAACTCCAGCTTGAATAGGGGCTGGGTACAATGAGGACCTACTGGGCTGCATTCCCAGGAGGTTGAGGCATTCTCAGTCACAGGATGAGACAGGAGGTCTGCACAAGGTACACGTCAGGAAGGTCTTGCTGATAAAACAGGTTGCAGTTAAGAAGTCGGCCAAAACCCACCAACACCAAGATGGCCACAAAAGTGACCTCTGGTTGTCCTCACTGCTCCTTATAAGCAAGTTAAAATGTATTAGCATGCTAAAAGACACTCCCACCAGCGCCATGACAGTTTACAGATGCCACGGCAACGTCCGAAATTACCCTATATGATCTAAAACGGGGAGGAACCCTTAGTCCAGGAATTGCCCACCACCTTCCCAGAAAACTCATGAGTAATCCATCCCATGTTTAGCCCGTAATCAAGAAATGCTAAACCTAAATGAAGTGTGAACGATTCTTTACATTCTATCCCACGCACCACATCCTCCGTAAAGATTGTCTTGATTCCTTCATAGTTATTGAATTATTATGATATTAGTGCCTATGTTCTCTACTCTTAAAGAGTGTAAATGACATTAAGAACTGAATTTATAATATTTTCTACTTTGCCTCCTTAAGAGTGCCTGGTATTGAGCCGAGATCACAGCGAATTTCAGACAATGAAGCAGTCCTCTCTCCCATCTCCCTCCTTTCCTCTCTGGCTCTCTCCATCCTCCTCTCCCCCTCCTCTCTCCTGCACTCTCCCAACGTGGTTCAGGGGCAGAATTCAGCAGCAGCAGCAGCGGTTTTCCTGATCCTGCCTCCATCCGCAGCTTTGATCTGAGTTTACCACGAAATATAAAAACACAATTTTAGAAAAAAAGAAGTTGGCAGTTAAGATTTCGAACGTTTCTAAAATGGGACTTGCAGTCCTTCCCGCCACTCTGAAATCTGTGCAGTCCTGAAATCTTGGAGGTGGTTCTTGAACAAACCTGCCATCTACTGGTCACGTGAGGAACTGGCCCCGCCCGGTGGGGGATGCGCTTCTCAGAGATGGAGATCCCCTGCCAGAGGCACCAAGAGGGCCAAGCCAAAGAACCCAGGTAGGATGGCAGGCTGGACGGGTGCAAATGCAGGAGCCTTAGCAGATCGGTGTGCTTTGTTTTAGCCGTCTTTCCCCCAACATTTGATAGGGTCTCCTGTTTCTAGTGTGAGACATCCCCAGATATCTCTGTGAGCGCAGCTTCTTTGGGGTCCTTCGAGGAGTGTGAAGGTACTAACACATTCTGTACTCTCTCTCCCTGCAATTTCCCAAGGGGGTATCTGCATTAGTTTAGTAGTCAACTGAGGTGCTTTTCACCGATGCTTACATCTCTTCCTGGGATTGGTCTTACAGGTTCCCACCAGCAGTAGAATCAATTTTAGGTAATTTCATCATTTAAAAAAATAGATGATCACATAATATAATTGTGATTATCTTAAACTTTTATAACTCTTTCATAAAAGTAAATTTGAAAGTAAAATTTTTTTTCTTTTCTTTTCTTTTTTTTTAGCAGAGTCTTGCTCTGTCACCCACGCTGGAGTGCAATGGCGCAACCTCGGCTCACTGCAACCTCTGCCTCCCGGGTTCAAGTGAGTCTCCTACCTCAGCCGCCTGAGTAGCTGGGATTACAGGTATGTGCCACCATGTCTGCCTAAGTTTTGTGTTTTTAGTAGAGATGGGGTTTCACCATGTTGCCCAGACTGTTCTTGAAATCCAGACCTCAGGTGATCCGCCTGCCTTGGCCTTTCAAAGTGCTGAGATTACAGGTGTGAGCCACTGCACCCAGCCTACATTTTTTTTAATTGAAAATTTTAGAGGAACTGTTCTGTCAGACACTTTTTGTAAAGTATATGACAGCAATGTATGTAAAGAGCTCAACTTAGACTGTAGGTCAGCCAGACTAAGAATGCTTCAGTCCTCCGCCCCTAAATGTTTGGGTATGTTACTCTTCAGAAGTTCTTCTGCCTGCCCTTCCTCTCTTCTTTTCTTTTCTTTCTCCTTTTCTTTTCCCTCCCTCCCTCCTTTCCTTCTTTCTTTTCTTCCTTCTTTCCTTCCTTCCTTTTTCTTTTTTTGTCAATCAAGAAAAATGACCAGGCAAGTCTCAATTATTTTAGGATGTTTATTTGCCAAAGTTAAGGACGTGTGCCCAGGAGACAGGTCTATGCCTTTCTCGGAATATGATTTTGAGGGCTCCAAATTTAAAGGGAAAAGGGCAGAATATTGAGAAGTACACAATTTTTGTATAAGAAAGAGATAGGAAAAAATATTCATGCCTTTGTCTGGCTCAGTGAATCTATATTTCTTACATAAGATGACATAAACAAAAGACGCAATGAAAAAACATGGGGAATCTGCATTTTACAGAAGTTAACACACACGAAATGGGGCAGGAAAACAATCGGATATACATTTGTGTCTGGCAGCCCGGGGTCACTGTAAAGATAAGCTGTCGATGTGCATTGCCATGGTAAAGTTGTAACAGTTCACCAGGAATTGTCTTGAGTGCAAAATACGGGGGAGGCGTGTAGCTTTTCACCTTGTAGCCATCTGATTTAGGAACCAAAAGGGGGAGACAGGTTTGCTTGACCCAGTTCCCAGCTGGAGTTTTCCCTTTGGCTAAATGAGTTTGAGTTCCCAAAATTAAATTAAATTTATTTATTTAATTATTTAATTTCATTCTTTCCGTTCCTCCCTTCTTTCTTTTTTCTTTTTTTTTCTTCTTTCTGTGTGTGTGTGTGTGTGTGTGTGTGTGTGCGACTTCTGGTGACAAATCTCTGGGAGATTTTGCTGAGAAATCTGGGTCTGGGTGAGGGCCCTTGGACAGTTACAGTCACCCTGTTCTTGTGACATGAACTCTGGGAATCACAATATTCTTCATTCCCCTTTCAGCGAGTCCTCAGTCCACAGGATCTCACCTTGTGGCTGATTGCCCTCTTTCCTTGGGCTTTGGCCAGATGGCAATGCCGTGCCTCCCTTTGACTTGAAAGGACATTGCCAAACCCTAAGACCTACAAGTCTCAAGAGAAGCCCAATTCCACGTCTGCTGTGTCCCCTGCTGAGGCCAAGCTGACAGTGGGTAGGGAAGAGGTTTGAGGAGGAGGCATACACACCAGGAACACTCTGCGCTGTCATCTGATAGTTTGCTCCTTAATCACCTCCATCTCTGTGGACCTGAGATACCACAGAGGGCCCTCCATGTAGTGATGGACACAGAGTACCTGGTTTCTGTCCCACAGGACTTGAGCTGATTCCCAGGATATTTGGCTAAGCTGTCCTTCTGCACCCAGAGGCCCCTCTAGGATCTGCTTCCAGCCCTTACTGACCCTGTCACTGCCAGCCCGAATCCTTCTCCTTTTCCAGAGCTGGCTATCAGAAAAATACATTTGCAAGAGGAACAAATCCAAGAAATACTGTTTCAAAGAGTAATTCAGAACCTCATTCTTCTAAATAATGGCAAGTCAGACTTCCTTGTCTGTAGAGGCGCTAGGGTGTGAAGGGTGATGAGGGGGGAGTGAAGGAAGAAATGGGATCCCTCCTGGAGGTGCAGACTGAACCATGGCCACACTGTGAGGAAAGGCCTCCGTCCCATGAGCACCACCCTCCCCAGTGCCCTCGGGAACCCCAGGCCCACCCCTCGCATCTGGGGGAGGAGCTGAGGGCTTCTGCCCATGCTCTCTCCTCCAGTCAGGCAGCAAACCGAGGGGACTGTGGAGGACAAGCCACTCTGCCCCCAGGAGATGAGCGCTGCTGATTTTTTTTTCCTTTCCCTGAGGAAACAATACATGTGTAAGTCTCACTGCTGGGGGACTCCACAAAATTGTCATCTTTCTGGTGAGCTGATCTGAGAACTTTCAAAACATCTTTCATCCAAGTCCCCAAGAAACAGCTGATGACACCACCTGAACTTCTCCGTATTCATAACACTCCTGATACTGCTTGGATTGACCTTGTTATCTTATCTTTATTTCTAACCTCCTCTATTTTCCTATCCACCTTCTTTCCAAGGACTTCCACTCCCAGTAATGACACCTTACAGCTCTGTGGGGATCTGGTATCATGATCATATTCTTACTCTATCCTTACACCAGCACTTTAATGTGAGCCATGCACATACTATCCCTGTGCAAAAACTAAGAAAATTGAGACCCTTGAAAAGAACAGACTTATCCAAAGTAAAGCTTGCCCAAATGTATAGCAAAGCTAGAATGAAAATCTCAGTCAGCCTAAACTCAGGGCTTCTTTTGTCTAGTGGTCGAGGGAGTTATGAATGTGGGCCACAGGGGACCG